GATGAATCGTTCCCTTTCACAATAATTGCATCCAGTAAATTGTGTAAACCTGGCAGCGCTTAACATAGATTCTGAACATGAAGTCCAGTCTATGTAGTCCTCTTGTGATCTCATTGTGTCACACATCCATCCAGACATTTGATTGTAACTTGTTTATGTGGAACAGCAGTTCAACCAAAAAAATCAGTATCATAACAGTGCACAACTATATTTTGCAAGGTGTCAATGAAAACCTGAAAACTTTCAATAGGTCCACTTCCATAACAGTTGCAAGATATAACAGTCGTCCAAATAAATCTCTTGTCCCCCTCAGCTTCCAAATTTGCCAATCTTTTATTTCCAACTTTACAGTTACTGCAGCTGAAGCAAAATTCTTCACCTTTCGATGAGGAATAGGTTTATCAAAACGAGAAAATCTGCAAAGCAACTGAGGCAAAACTCCTCAGTCCATTTCTGATCTTTCTCATCACAGTTAGTCAAGTCATCACTTACATCATTAGGCATATCCTGACCTGTTGATTTGCAGTAGAGATTATCATCATGGGAATTCTCTGCAAAGGGATCTATTGTCGTCTGTATACCACTGATGAATTTTTTCACGTCTGAGTTATCTTGTGATATTCGATTTCTTTCTTGGCCGGCTTCAGCAATCCAATTGATCTCAATGTGAGATCAACTGGATTGCTGTAAAAGGAAATACACCTGACTGTTAAAGCACCATTATCCAAGATTTCTCTTGCGTCTGGATGTGTGTTGTCCATATTAAGCAAGTTGAGGTGGTATAGCAACAATTTGGATGACCAGCGGCAAACAATAATGAGCACATCTTCCCCAGATAATATATAAACAGTTCCAAATGGTTGGTACGACGTGCCCTGCTGATTAATAGAATGAGTTCAAACATTTCAATTTAAAGGATTCAGAATATTGCTGTCTTCCCATGATCCCCTTTTCTCGTTTTGCTGGTATAGATCTCATACTGGTTGAGAAAGTCTTCATATTCTTTTGCCAATTCAAATGTTTCTACAGTTTGTGGGTTAAGGTTGTCGTGCAGCTGAGATAAACCAGCTGTGGAGTCTGTGGGTATGGGGCTGCCGGCTTCTTGCAAGAAACTTTAGAAGTGCAAGTGTCAAAATGCTAAAGCCAGAAGTGGATGGATGTGTTTGCAGTGGTTAAAATGTTTTCCTGAGATGAGCTCATTGAGTTACCGGCAGCCAATAGTTAGTTCTGAGTCAGAGATGAACTGAATTTAAGCTTTAAACTTTGATCTCCAGTGGCCTCATCTGTATCAATTATATTAACACATGCTGTATATGTGTGCATGCAGCTATACATTTCATGTAAAATGATGCCTTGTATGTGATGATGGAATTAAAAATGTAGAACTTATATATGGTTTTGAACTAGAATCCCCAATTCTGCCATATATCTTTGGAGTGTAAATGAGGCATAATTATTTGACAAATTCTGTAAATCCATACAGGATGGTACGACTAAGTCTGCCTAATTCATATTCTACACACTTTGTTGTATTAAAATCCATATTCAAACCTTTTACAGTCAGACAGAACAATAAACCCCCTCCTCCGTAGGTCTTGGACTAAAGGGAAAGATTGGAGCACGGCTCAGAGTTTCAGCAAGTTCAGCAAGTCCACTCCAGGAATTGTTTCTCATTTTATCCCTTCCAACACTTGCACAATACTACGCTTGTTTCCTGTCATATGGCACTCAGTTTCCCACCCCATGGAGGTGGAAATCAGAGAGAATGCCCCCCTCCCCCCAATTCAGGACAACAACAGCAACTTGATATGACAGTCACACACTGACCATCACGCACTGACACACTGACCATCACAGTGACATACTGACCATCACACACCATCACACACTGACCATCACACAGTGACATACTGACGATCACACACTGACCATCATACACTACACACTGACCATCACACACTGACACACTGATCATCACACACTGACACACTGACCATCACACACTGACCATCACACACTGACACACTGACCATCATACAGTGACATACTGACCATCACACACTGACACACTGACCATCGCACACTGACCATCACATACTGACACATTGACCATCACACACTGACACATTGATCATCACACACTGACACATTGATCATCACACACTGACACACTGACCATCACACACTGGCACATTGACCATCACACACTGACCATCACACACTGACCCACTGACCATCACACACTGACACACTGACCATCACACACTGACACAGTGACCATCATGACTCACACACTGACCATCACCCACTCACACACTAACCATCACACACTGACACAGTGACCATCACGACTGACACACTGACCATCACACACTGACACAGTGACCATCACCCACTCACACAGTGACCATCACACACTGACACACTGACCATCACACTCTGACACACTGACCATCTAATTCACTGTCACATTCACAGGTTAGAGACAGAGTAAAGCTCACTCTACACTGTCCGGCTAGCACTCACACTGACTGTTAATGTGTGCTGGTCAGTGTGTGAGTAATGGTCAGTGTGTCCTGGTCAGTGTGTGACTGTCAGTGTGTGCTGGTCAGTGTGTGAGCGATGGTCAGTGTGTGCTGGTCAGTGTGTGTCTGTCAGTGTGTGCTGGTCAGTGTGTGTCTGTCAGTGTGTGCTGGTCAGTGTGTGTCTGTCAGTGTGTGCTGTTCAGTGTGTGTCTGTCAGTGTGTGCTGGTCAGTGTGTGTCTGTCAGTGTGTGCTGGTCAGTGTGTGCTGGTCAGTGTGTGAGTGCTGGTCAGTGTGTGAGTGCTGGTCAGTGTGTGAGTGCTGGTCAGTGTGTGTCTGTCAGTGTGTGTTGGTCAGTGTGTGCTGGTCAGTGTGTGTCTGTCAGTGTGTGCTGGTCAGTGTGTGAGTGCTGGTCAGTGTGTGAGTGCTGGTCAGTGTGTGAGTGCTGGTCAGTGTGTGACTGTCAGTGTGTGCTGGTCAGTGTGTGAGTGCTGGTCAGTGTGTGAGTGCTGGTCAGTGTGTGTCTGTCAGTGTGTGCTGGTCAGTGTGTGAGTGCTGGTCAGTGTGTGAGTGCTGGTCAGTGTGTGACTGTCAGTGTGTGCTGGTCAGTGTGTGAGTGCTGGTCAGTGTGTGCTGGTCAGTGTGTGCTGGTCAGTGGTGTGCTGGTCAGTGTGTGCTGGTCAGTGTGTGAGTGCTGGTAGTGGTGTGCTGGTCAGTGTGTGCTGGTCAGTGTGTGAGTGCTGGTCAGTGTGTGAGTGCTGGTCAGTGTGTGAGTGCTGGTCAGTGTGTGTCTGTCAGTGTGTGCTGGTCAGTGTGTGAGTGCTGGTCAGTGTGTGAGTGCTGGTCAGTGTGTGACTGTCAGTGTGTGCTGGTCACTCTCGTTATAATAGCACCAATTAGTCTGCCTGAAAGAAACGTAGTCTGCCAGAGCGAGGCAGACTAGGCACTTTAGGCACTCACGCATTTCGGCACTCAGTTTCCCCCAGCGGCTATCAGTGTGTGTTACAGTCAGTTATTGTGTGACCGTTAGTGTGACAGTAAGTGTGACTGTCGGTGTTATTTTGGGCTCAGGGCTCGTGTGACTGGAATGTGGAGACATTTATCTCTGGATTTATTCTGCTCACTAATTGGAGTTAGCGAGTTTCCAATCAAATTACTGGGTCTGGGAATTCATTTCCTGACATTTGATCGCTTACAATTGTCGCGTGTGAACTTTTATTAGATTCCTCTCAAATCAAAGTAATTTGCGTCACATCTGACCTGCTGACTCATTGCATCCCCAGTCAGTGTCCCTGCCCCCACTCTCACATAATAATCCTTCCATTAGATATAGCGCTTTTCACATCGTCGAGACGTTGCAAAGCGCTTCACACTGTACACTGTAAAGTGGATTGAATGTGTATTTTGCGGGCAAAATGTCCCACAAACAGCCATGGATTGAGCGACCAATTTTATTTCGGGGATTTATTGGCCAGGACACCAGGAGAGAGAAACTCTCTTCTCTCTTCGAATAGAGCCATGGGATCTTTAATATCTGCCTGAACAGGCAGATGGGACCTGGGTTTAACATCTCATCCGAAGGACGGCACCTCCGACAATGCAACACCCCCCCACAGCAGTGCTTTGGACGGTCAGTCTAGACTACGCGATTTCATGTCCCGACCGTAGGGCTTCAACTCACAACCTTCTGACTCAGAGGTGAGAGTTCTACCACTGCGCCAGGTCCTCTCCCGTGACTCTCACTCACCCGGCAGATGCGATATTGGGTTGCAATCTAACTTAGAAAGCAAAGTAAGATGAGACGGGTAAATTCAATTGCACGTTGTCTGGGCTGTATGTAAGGTTATTTTGGGAATCCAAAGTTTGCATTCCAACCCATGGAAAGCGCTTTAGCTTTCCTCCCTTATCTTTAATCACCGTTAAAAAAAATCTTAAAGCCTTCCTCTTCGATCTCTCTGTGGTCACCATCCTTCTGACTCAGAGGCAAGAGTCCTACCAACTGAGCCAGGTTGACATTTATTTGTTTCATTCCCTTTTGGAAGCTATTACAGGTTTGCTTCAACCATGTGTTTGGTTAGGCATTCCATGTGCTGATAACCCTGTGTTAAAGAAATTCTCCCTTTATGACGATTTTAATGCCCTCTCATTACTGACTAACCAAACTGCGCTGATAGTTTCTCCCTGTTCAAGAGGGCAGAGCCACCAAACAAGGAGGACTATTGAGGGGATATGTCCACAGAAGAATGTATAAGGTGCCTGAGACTGCCCCAAGGTCCAGATTCTGGCCAATCCGGTCAGAGAGGACCTGGGTTCGATTCCAGGCGGGATAAAACCTTAGGCAAGTTTCCTTACTCCACACACCTGTTTACCTAGCAGTAAGTAGGAACTTGGTTGTTAGTCAATTGATGGATAGCTATCGATAATAATCCATCCAAAATAAATAAATTTGGTCACTCAATCCACGACTATTTGTGGCACAGTGCTTAGCTGCCAAGTTTTCCCCACAAAATCTACACTGCTGTACAAAAGGGAGTGGGAATCTCTTTGACACAGAGGCAGTGTCGCTTTAAAAAGGGGAAGGTTGGAGAACATGCAAGATGTAGGAGGAGCGATGTTGGAGAGAAAAAGAGAGACACACACACAGAAAATATTCATAGGCTCGGTGTAGTGGAGGATCAACACAGGAAAGAGCTGTATACAGCGCAGACTGACAGCCTGACATGCAGGCAGGTGAGAGACTGTGACTGCACTCACACTGGCTCACACCCATGGCTCCCATTCACACTGACTCACAGTAACACACTGGCTCACACACACACACACACACACAACACACACTCTCTCACACACACTAACACACACTCTCACACAGACACTGACATACACTCTCAGACAGACACTGGCACACACTCTCACAGAGACATTGACACACACAGACATTGACATATACTCTCACACAGACACTGGCACACACTCTCACACAGACATTGACACACGCAAACACTGACACACACACACAGCCTCACATACTGATTCACAATAATAATAATAATCCTTGCATTTGATATAACAGATTGACACACACTCACGGGCTCACAAACACGCATACTGCAGCTGCTCAATGTGACCTAGAGGAGAGGAGAGTGAGCTGTGCCTGTGCAGGGACGGGGGACAGGCAGGGCTGTGTGTTTTCTGTTCCTGGGGCTCAGGCAGCTTTCAACCTTCCCCTGTGACTGGGATATGTGAAGGTCACGGGCAGTCACACTGGACAGACAGGGACGGTACCAATGGGAGAGTATATACTGCGCTGTTAGTGTATATGTTGTGTACACTCTGCTGTGTGTGTAAATCTGTTGTGTATACTGTCCTGTGTGTACATATCTATGGTGTATACTAGAATCGGTGTACACTGATGTGTGGGTCTATATTGTGTGCGCTGGACTATGTATATATTAACGTGTGAGCGCTGAACTGAAAATACTAGTTTGTGTGTCTGTGTGTGTATGCTCGGTGTCAGACTAACTCAGTTGCTAGCTCTCTCGCCTCTGAATCACGAGGTTGTGGGTACAAGCCTCCACATCTGGGCTTTGAGCTAGATTGACGCTCCATTGCTGAGGCGTATGGGGAGGGGTTGGGGGCTGTATTATCGGAGGTGCTTTCAGGTGAGATGTTAAACCGAGGTCCTGTCTGTGCTTGTTCAGTTGATGTTATGGGTTCCGGGGCACTACTTGTGAAGAGAAGGATGTCTCTCCTGGCCGACAATCCTCCAAACAAAATGGTTCACTTGCTTCATAGCTGATTGAAAAGATTGACTGAAATCACTGTCCCAAAAGAGGTAATTCCTGAGACGGACCTTCAACAAGAGAGGGAGTGAGTTGCAGGGACTCCAAGATGAAGTTGCAGAGAGCGGGGACAGATGTTGCCTTACTGTTTCATGTGTATTATACTGTATGTAATAATAATAATAATCCTTGCATTTGATATAGCACTTTTCACGTCTTCTCGACCTCTCAAAGCTCTTCAATAGACTGTAAAGTGAATTGACTGCGAACGCGGCAGCCAATTGCGCACAGCAGTGTCCCACAAACAGTTATGGATTGAAAATAACCAATTTATTATTGTTTTGGAGGGATTATTATTAGGCGTGTGGAGTAAGGAAACTTGCCCAAGGTTTTGCCCTGCCTGGAATTGAATCCAGATGTATACTGTACTGTGTCTGTGTGTGTGTGTGTGTGCATAGTATATTCTGTATTGTACGAGTGTGTGTGTGTACTGTAGTGTATACATATTGTACTGTGCATATACTGTACTGTGTATGTGTGCAATGTAATACAAGTCTGTGAGCACACTGTAATGTGTTTTCTTCTGCACTGATGTGCAAGTGTGCCCGGTAGTGTCTGCGTGTTCATTTAGTGTGAGTGTGCGCTGTAGTCTGTGTATGTGTAAACTGTGTGCAACATGATGTGCACACTGTAGTGTGATTGTGAATGACTGTTCACACTGTAGTGTGAATGTGTGCCCCAATACATCTGCAAACAATCCTGTTTACTGACCAGGGAGTTCTCCCTCTTAAGGCGAATATTGAGCTCTTATTTGAATTTGACTCCGTTCAGTAGGAACCCAGTTGTTAGTCAATTGGCAGATCTCCTTTCCAGGGATAATAATCCTTAAAAAAAGTCATAATTTGGTGACTCAATCCACAACTGTTTGTGGGACACTGCTGTGCGCATTGGCTACCGCATTTCGCCCACAAATATACAATCAATTCACATTACAGTATATTCTGTGAAGCACTTTTAGGTGTCTAGAGATATGAAAACCTCTGTACCAAATGCAGGGATTATTATTATTTTTCAAATCCTGCTTCTCCAGGGAATGTGGAGTTGTGTTGTCTAATGGCAAAATGAAACAAAGTACTTCTTCTCTCCTTACAAAACACTCCGACAAGCTTCGTTCCCACCTTGTACCTCTCTTTCCGGAGAGTTGCAAACTGAAATTCCTCAGAGATAATCCATAATAATAATAATTCTTGCATTTGATATCATATTTGATGTCTTCGAGACATCTCAAAGCGCTTCACAAAATATGCTGTAAAGTGAATTGACCATATATTTTGTGGGCGAAACAATCCTTGCATTCGATACAGTGCATGTAATGTCAAAATCCATCTCAAAGTGCTTCGCAGTGAACTGCTGTCAATTGTAGTGACTGATAATGCAGATGCAAATGCAGCAGATAATTTGCCAGCTGCGAGATCCCACACACACCCGTGAAATGATTCACCAAGCTAATCTTAACATCTTAAACAAGTTTGTTGTTTATGTGTGTGTCACCCTGGTTGTACTCTCACCTCTGAGTCAGAAGGTTGTGGGTTCAAGCCTCACGTCGGGACTCAAACACACATAGTCTAAGCTGACACTCCAATGCAGTGCTGTGGGTGCGTTGCATTGTTGGAGGTGCCATCATTCAGATGAGACATTAAACCCAAGCCCCGTCTGTGCCTGTTCAGGTGGACATTAAAGATTCTGTGGTGCAAGTTGAAAAGAGAAGAGACTTTCTCTCTCCTGGTGTCCTTGCCGACAATCCCCCACATAAAATCGGTGGCTTTCTCCATGGCTGTTTATGGGGATATTGTTGAGTGCAAATTGCCTGCTGCATTTCACCCACAAAACACACAGTCACTTCCCTTTAAAGTATATAATAATAATAATAATAATCCTTGCATTTGATATAGCGCTTTTCACGTCAGGAGGACGTCCCAAAGCGCTTCACAGAACACACTGTAAAGTGAATTGACTGTATATTTGTGGGCGAACGCGGCAGCCAATTGCGCACAGCAATGTCCAACGAACAGTCATGGGTTGAAAATGACCAATTTATTATTGTTTTTTTTTTGGTTTTGGAGGGATTATTATTAGGCGTGTGGAGTAAGGAAACTTGCCCAAGGTTTCGCCCTGCCTGGAATTGAACTCAGGTCTCTCGCTTGCAAAGCGAGTGCTCAACCACTGAGCTACAGGACTCCACTGGGAAGTGCTTTGGGACGTCCTCCCAACGTGAAAGGAACTGTATCAGATATTTCCAGATCATAATCCCCTTTCAACAACAACAACAAATTACATTTGTATTGCGCCTTTCATATCGGGAGGACATCCCAAAGCAAATCCCTGAATGAATGCTTATTGAGGCGGTGTCTGCCTTGTGAGTCAGGTGGACAAGAATGCACCTTCCCCTCAAGGCCTTTATACACAGTACAGTATATACAGTATATAAAGACTTTCCTCTTTGATCGTGCCTTTGGCTATCCCCACCCCCACCACCCCCTGCTACCCTCCACCCCTCTGAATTCCAACCCCCAGCTCGGGTGCAATCCCTTTGTGGAGTCCTGTAGCTCAGTGGTTAGAGCACTCGCTTTGCAAGCGAGAGACCTGAGTTCAATTCCAGGCAGGGCGAAACCTTGGGCAGGGTTCCTTACTCCACAGAGCCTAATAATAATCCCTCCAAAACCAAAAACAATAACAAAATTGGTCATTTTCAATCTACGACCTTTTGTGGGACATTGCTGTGCGCAATTGGCTGCCGCGTTCGCCCACAAATGTACAGTCAATTCACTTTACAGTGTGTTCTGTGAAGCGCTTTGGGACGTCCTCCCGACGTGAAAAGCGCTATATCAAATGCAAAGATTATTATTATTAACAGCGCACACTGGCCTGCTTCATGTCCTCTGCCCACCCCACTCCACGTCAGTGGACGAGCTCTCATCCATTCTACCTCTCGCTTTTTGAAACTCCTTCCTGGAGTCCCTCCACCTCGCCTCTCTCTCTTATGGGCACCTCACGGACTGTGGACTTGCCATAATACCTCTCAATCAAATGAGCCCTTGGAACTCTTGACCTGACTCACGCAATGCTCCGTAATAAACCTCTATTAGAACCAGATACAGCCTTACATTTGCAACCCAGCTGATTGCTGTTTACCCAAATGTCGCTCTGTGTGGCTCGGTATCAAATGCCCCTGTAGCTCTACTGACTCAGGTCCTAGTTGTGTACTGATCTGGTTTCCCTGCTAACAAAGCATTATGGTCTACTGTGTCTTTCGCTTGCCTCAAGGAAACGTCTGGAAGCTCCTTTCAGAATAATATTGATTGGAAATGAAACCAGAGTTATTATAGAGGCAAACGTGGCAGCTGAATCTCCACCAGTAACAAGACAAGTAACTAATTAATTTGAACGTGTATATATATATGATAATCCTTGCATTTGATATAGCACCTTATCACGTCATTGAGACGTCTCAAAGCGGTTCACAGAATATATTGTAAAGTGAATTGACTCCGTATTTTGTGGGTGCATCGCGGGAGCCAATTGCGCACGGCAGTTTTCCACGAGCAGTCATGGATTGAGCAACCACATTTTTTTTTGGAGGGATTATTCCCCTCAGAAAGCAATCCGCCAATCAACTAACAACCAGGTTTCTATTTACTGCTAAGTAAACAGAGGGGTGTGGGGTAACAACAACAACAAGATTACATTTGTATAGCGCCTTTCACGTTGGGAGGACGTCCCAAGACGCTGGACAGAGTACAGCATTTCAGACCCGAGCTGGGGTCAGGGGGGAGAAGGGAGGGGAGGGGAAGGAGGGTGGCCGATGGCATGGTCGAAGAGGAGGGTCTTGAGGTGGGACTTGAAGGAGGCTAAGGAGGGGGCGAGGCGGAGTGACTGGGGGATGGAATT